GAATAATATAGACGCTCTTGAGCGTAAAGTCGAGCTAGTTATTTTGGAAAACTGAGAAAAAAGACATGGTATCCAAAGAATTTACTTAGAGTTCAGTTCGGTAAAAAATTATGATGTAATAAATTGATAACATATTAACTTAATTCTGTCTTGACTTATTACAAACAAAGACTATCTTGTTAAAATGAAACACCATTGTCACAGGAAGCCCACGTAAGCGATCCATGATCGTCTAGTTTATCATTAAAAAAAAGCTTGCCTTCTCGCATTTTAAGCCTTTTTGAATTTGTTTTTTGTACTAGTTTCTCACCCTTAATGACGAAAAAAGTTCAAGCAGCAACGTATTTATGTCCGATTCTCTATTAACTATTTTTTCCCTGAAAATGCTATATAATAAATATCTTATTAACCGAGCGCGAGGGCCGTACAGGAAGTTATGGACCGAGTTTTTTTCCGCTGACTTATGGCCAGAGGGTGTAGCGCGAGGGCCATAAAAAAGTGGAAAAAAGTGGTTCCATAACTTCCCGTAAGGCTCGAGCAAGCGAGGTTAATAAGATATTATTACATGATTTTCTGCAAAACGTAGCAATACAAAACCTATGAAAAAAGTATCGTGCCAAAAAAAAGTCAAATTTCGCGCTACGAAAATGCAGTTTCGGAAAACAAAGAATTCCGAAAGTAAACCGAATGCAATCGCTACCCGAAATCATGTTGGGCGGGAATCTAGACATCTTTGTTTTCTAGAAGGCGGCCAATTTAGCGAGGTAAGTTGAAATCTATGAGCTAAAACTCACGAGTTTTACTGTGCAGTGAATTGAAAACATCTTGAAAATCAGACCTCATAAGATTTAGTTTCAATGAAATTTCTCCAAATTTGGACTTAAGACAGCTAGATAATGTATGTTTACATAATAGTTTGCGAATATTTGCCAAATTTCGTATTTGCAATTATATTCACGGTTACATTTTTAGTATTTCTTTTTTGGTTCTGGTGCCCATTATCGTGCCATGTACAAAATAATTTTTGTTGTGAATGAAGTAATTGTCAAAGCATCTTTAGAAATGCGTGCAAAGTGTGTCATGTGTGTAGATGTTTTACACTCTTCATTTGTAGCTTTGTGGTCTTCGTTGATTGTTGTACACTACAAAGGATGTATCCCGTATAATTCAATTCCCTCTTCTAAATTAAATTTCAGTTACTTTTCGGCCCATATATAAGAAATGATATGAGTAAAAAGGCACAAAAACTAACTGTTAGCGTTATTCTCTCCTTTAATTGTTTATTCTTGAAAAAAAAATGACGTGTTACTGTACTGTACCCGGTGGCACGAAACTGGGCACTCAAGTCGTCTCTGAAAAAAGGGTAATTCTAACAGTAATTAAAGTTTTTCGATTACATAATTTTATCAGTGCATCAACAAATAAATTTGCTTTATTGAGGAAAACGATATAGCGATTACAAACTGAAATGGCACGATACTGGGCAACGCACTCTATCCCTCAGTCCTTACTTGCGATTATTTGGACGGTCGTGATAACCGAGTTTTAATTCCAATAATTCAGGAAGCTGACAAAAGTATGTCTATGTTTGCTCACGAAATTTAAATATATGTCTGACGCATGCAAAATATGCCTATTTCTAGGAATAATTGTTTTTATCATAATCTTACCGTGTACACTGATTTTCTTCTTCGGGGTTTTTCCCGTGGTGCTCCGCGCCCTACAGTAATATATCAACGTTTCATTCTTGCAATGCTTAAAAGGAATAGTGTAATTGTCATCTTTTGATTGGTGGATTATATTGCCTGAAAGGTCAGTCCATTCTATTGTAGGAATTGGGATTCCTGTAGCCAGACAAATAATGGTAACGCTGTTGTTTATCATTGTGTAGTTAATGGTTGTAGTATTCAATAACAATGGTGGATCTGCAACAAAATTGACGAATAACGCAACATGCAGTTTATATACAGCTCAACACAGGTACATATGCGAAATCATGTAAATGTTTTGACAGAAAAAGAAGCTTTTTATTTGCACTTAGCATCCTAAAATTTCTGTGATTTGAATCAACACGGAACGATTTGTAAGTATTTCAAAATGCTAAATTTTATAGAGAAATGTATCTTTCATGTCCCGACAGAATTTTACATTTCTTCTAGCATGTTCAAAATTTTGTAAATCTTTTTTCGGAATGTCTAAACGTCAGGCAGTCGAACTTTTTCTTAAAAAATTGTCGGAACAACCGTAATTTCAATTAATACAACAAGGGTAACGCAATAAAGACCGAAATAATACTGTTCGGCAAGTTTCAAACATACGGCACTTTGAGATTTTTCGACTGCCTGACGTTTAGTCCCAGAACTAAACGTCAAGCAGTCTACTTTTTTGTGAAAAATCGTCGGAACAACTGTAATTTCAATTAATAGCACAAGGTAAATGGAATAAAGACCAAAATAAGGTCTTGGGTAAAAATTAGCAGGGGGAGGGGAGGTGGAAATTGAAAAGTGGGTACTTGGAATAGGGTGACCAACCATAGTGGGGAAGTAAAATTTTCTACTGATATTAGACGGGAAAAATATCGTGACCCTCCCCCAACCTCGTTCCCAGGGTCTTAACCCTTCGCTTGGGGTCAGGCGGGAAAAGGCCCTGGTATCGCCTAGTGACATCTCTAATTTGATTGGTTGAGAGAAAAATTTGTTTTTATAATTTATCCAAACGACTTTTTGACACATTACGAAAGATTTCTGATGAAAACACGCCCTTTAGACAGATTTTAAGACAAGCTGGACTCCACAGCTGATCAGGGTCTTTTTGTTGCTTAATCGAGTAAAGTTTTGATTGCATTTTCTGTGAAAACCTTTCTTCATGAGAATCAGTGTTGTGAAGCATCTGTCAACAAGAACGTTATGATTGCCCCTTACTGGCTAAGCCGCTTTACCTTGACCAAGTTTAACAGGTCGTTAAGTTTTAAAAATACAACGACACTTCCGAGGTCTTGAATCGATTTTGAAGTTAAAACAGTTCTACTTGTTTATCGTTGAAAATATACTTCGAATAATTCTTTTGTAGTATCTTTAAGTTTTTAGAAGGCAAATACTTGTAGTTGAATGTAATTCAAACCGTTACAAGGACTTACCACGCACTCAAAATAAATAGTGACGATGTATGTGTAATGTTATGATAATTTATTACACCCAGAATTTTGGGGTGTTTGGCCAGCCGATGCCAGGGCCTTCTCCCGCCTGACCCCAAGCGAAGTGATAAGACCCTGGGAACGAGGCTGACCCTCCCCGTCCACCTTCAACCATTACCAGAAAAAATTATCAATGTCCCCAAGCGGCCAATACTATAATTGGACCATTCTTTCTTCATTTTGAAGGGATAAGGATTAGGATATTTGATAGGCAGTTGATTAGGACATTTGATGTATCTATTCTAAGTATTGCTTACTTTATATATTTGATATTCTTTGTTTGTCTTAGTGTTGTTGTGGCTATTGAACGAAATAAAACACTTTTTTTTATCTATTTATACTGTGAACCAATTATTATTATTATTAACTTTCTATCAAATATCCTAATCATTATCCCTTCAAAATGAAGAAACAATGGTCTAATTAAAGTCCATGCACCATCTTTTACTGGCTGCTTGGGGGCAATGATAAATTAGAAATTGTTGTGGTCAGGTTTAGACTAGTTCACCTAGTTTCCGGAAACTAGTGAGATATTTTCGCAAAAATATAATAAAAATAGGTGACATTTCAAATAAAATTACACCAACGGCAAAGAATTAGAGAGTATTTTATCGTTTAGCTTGCAATGCGATCGTTCTAGCCGCCATTTTGAGAATCTTAGCACAGGAAACCCACATTTAATAACTGGAATATTAGCTCTTTTTGTCTTGTGGGAGGGGACCCATCGAAACTTTTTGTCAAAGAAAGCCAATCTTGAGCCCAGACCCTTATTTCGGTCTTTATTCCATTTCTGG